TCATCTCTCTTATGTTAGCAGTAGAAAATGGACTAGGGGCCAGCAGGTGGTGTGGTTTTAAGGTCACTGGATCCCACATAGCCAACTGTGCGGTTTGAGTTCCAGACCTGGCAGATAGGAAAACACACCACGTGCATGTGCACGCATGCTTGAAATTGAGAGGGGAGAATGGAGAAGGGATTGTGACCTGGCCATCCCCACTGGGGCGTGCTTACTCACATTACTTTCTCTCTCTCTCTCCCTGGGGAGTGCATATGCCCTACACTGGATATTTTTTTAAGTGCCAGCAAGTGGGGTGGTGGTTGAGGTGATGGATTCCCATATGATTCACTGCAGTTCAAGTCCCAGACCTGGCAGCTTTGAAAATCACATCAGGTGCATGAACCCAAAATCCCAGGAGAAGAATAGAGAGGGGATTGCTTCCTGGCCATCCCCCTAAGGGATGATTTCTCACTTTTCCTCTCTCTGTCTCTCTCTGGCAAGTGCACCTGCTCTATGACAAAAACCTAAAAAGAAAAAAGAAAGAAAATAAACTAGAATGACACATTCCAAGATATCTTTAGTAGAAAGGATTTAGTTATTTTATTTATTTCTATCTCAAGTAAATATCTGAGAAATATCTATAAAAATGTGTATGAAGTGGTCAATGTTTCAAAACTGCTTTTATGACTGAAACTATGAAGTTAGAGGTCATACAAAGTCAGAAGATTCCGTGTACACACAGCAGGAACACCACTATTAAACTGACAGCAGAGTTTTAGCCCAGGGTGCTGTTTGTTTCATCACCTACCACCTGGCTGGCAATAAACCCTCAGGTGGTCAGAAAAGTCATGATGAGTTTTTGCATAGAAAACATAGAAAAATATGCCATGACATTTCAATGACCCATTAGATAATCCAACCACCTTAGTGTAGAAGAAATAGGTAGCAGGGCCAGCAGGTGGCATGGTGGGTAAGGGCGCTGGACTTCCACATGGCTGACCATGGTTTGAGTCCCGGACCTAGTAGCTTGCTTTCTCATTTTCCTTCTCCCTCTCTCTCTCTCTCTCTCTCTTTCTCTCTCACTCTGTCCCTCTCTGATAAAATTAAAAAATAGATGGCTAGATGATAGATAGATAGATAGTTAATAATAAAATGATTCTTTTAAAAAAAATAAAAAAGAAATACGTAGCTTCAAAGAGTTCCTCAGGCCTTTTGGACAGGACCATAGACGCCTATGACTTAGCGGCTATTAGGACAAAAAGGAGGGACTCCCCTCTGGCATGTCATTGCTCTTGTTAAAAAAAAAAAAAAAAAAAAGAGTGTATTTTTTCATCTCATCTCTCTTACGTTAGCAGTAGAAAATGGACTAGGGGCCAGCAGGTGGTGTGGTTTTAAGGTCACTGGATCCCACATAGCCAACTGTGCGGTTTGAGTTCCAGACCTGGCAGATAGGAAAACACACCACGTGCATGTGCACGCATGCTTGAAATTGAGAGGGGAGAATGGAGAAGGGATTGTGACCTGGCCATCCCCACTGGGGCGTGCTTACTCACATTACTTTCTCTCTCTCTCTCCCTGGGGAGTGCATATGCCCTACACTGGATATTTTTTTAAGTGCCAGCAAGTGGGGTGGTGGTTGAGGTGATGGATTCCCATATGATTCACTGCAGTTCAAGTCCCAGACCTGGCAGCTTTGAAAATCACATCAGGTGCATGAACCCAAAATCCCAGGAGAAGAATAGAGAGGGGATTGCTTCCTGGCCATCCCCCTAAGGGATGATTTCTCACTTTTCCTCTCTCTGTCTCTCTCTGGCAAGTGCACCTGCTCTATGACAAAAACCTAAAAAGAAAAAAGAAAGAAAATAAACTAGAATGACACATTCCAAGATATCTTTAGTAGAAAGGATTTAGTTATTTTATTTATTTCTATCTCAAGTAAATATCTGAGAAATATCTATAAAAATGTGTATGAAGTGGTCAATGTTTCAAAACTGCTTTTATGACTGAAACTATGAAGTTAGAGGTCATACAAAGTCAGAAGATTCCGTGTACACACAGCAGGAACACCACTATTAAACTGACAGCAGAGTTTTAGCCCAGGGTGCTGTTTGTTTCATCACCTACCACCTGGCTGGCAATAAACCCTCAGGTGGTCAGAAAAGTCATGATGAGTTTTTGCATAGAAAACATAGAAAAATATGCCATGACATTTCAATGACCCATTAGATAATCCAACCACCTTAGTGTAGAAGAAATAGGTAGCAGGGCCAGCAGGTGGCATGGTGGGTAAGGGCGCTGGACTTCCACATGGCTGACCATGGTTTGAGTCCCGGACCTAGTAGCTTGCTTTCTCATTTTCCTTCTCCCTCTCTCTCTCTCTCTCTCTCTTTCTCTCTCACTCTGTCCCTCTCTGATAAAATTAAAAAATAGATGGCTAGATGATAGATAGATAGATAGTTAATAATAAAATGATTCTTTTAAAAAAAATAAAAAAGAAATACGTAGCTTCAAAGAGTTCCTCAGGCCTTTTGGACAGGACCATAGACGCCTATGACTTAGCGGCTATTAGGACAAAAAGGAGGGACTCCCCTCTGGCATGTCATTGCTCTTGTTACTGCCTACTATTTAGTAAGCAGGTCTATGAGTCCGGTAAGAGGCCAAGCACTTCCCATATATTACTTTGTTTCATCTTCCAACAACCCTATCAGGAAATGATCTATTCTTACCCCCGTTTTACAGAGCACACATGTTTAAAGAGAGTAATCAACCTTCTCTAGGTAATGTACTTTTAAAATATAATTATTTAATTTTGTTATTATTATTTAAATATGCAACAGAGCACCTAAGCTCAATAGAGAAGAGTCAGAGAGAGAGAGAGAGAGGAAAAGTGAGAAAGCAAACTACCAGGTCCAGGACTTGAACAGGGGTCAGCTATGTCATAACCACCACGCCACCTGCTGGTGCCAGTAATGTACTTTTTTTGGTAGAGGTTTTGGCCTTTGGCCACGTGCACTCACCAGAGAGAGAGACAGAGATAGTAAGAGGGAAAGTGAGAAATCATCCCCCAGAGGATGGCCACGCCACAAACCCTTCTTCTCTATTCTTCTCCAGGGATCTTGGACACACGTGCACACGTGCCCAGCATGAGTTTCAAACCATCAGGTCCGGGACTTGAACCGTGGTCAGCCATGTGGGAGTCCAGCAACGTAATCACTACATCATCAGCTGGTCCCCTGTAATGTACTTTTTTAAAAGCTTATTTATTTCTTCTATGAGGCAT